AAAGTAAACGCAGTCCGTTTCCAATTTACCACCCTAGAGACTGGCAGCACCTTGTCAGAATCGCGAGCACGCAAAAAAATAAATTCGAAGTTAATGCCATGACGCAGTCAGATTTTTTGATTTTACAGACCTCTTTAAGAAATTTCTTCAAAAAAAATTAAATAAATATTGATCACGAGCAGTTCAATTTTAGACATATTAGATGGCTGCGGTTTTCAAAAAATGAACAATTTGGTAACTTTCGCTATAAAGAGTCATTGGATCCAAATCTACCATTCAAAAAGATGAGTTATCAAAAGAAGAAGAAAACTGCTTTTCCTCCCGACTATAAAATTCCTTTACCCTATACAACCCTCTTACCCATTTCAGAGGTAAAAAACAAAAGCTTCTGTCTTTAACCCTATATCTGGTACTGTTGCTCACAGGCAACATTGCCTGAGAGCACTAGTTTATTCATCTTCCGCTGTGTTTAACGCTTTACGGTCAATGTAGCCTGGAATTCAATTAATAATCTATTTGGAAGTCTCCCGCTCTGTCAAACGTTAAATCACGTCTTCTCCTCTTTTTTTTTCTTCCCGTTATGGCGTTAGCACATGAATATAGATCGACTTTTGAAATCGATTCTTTCCCATCTCTAGTCTTAAGTGTCATCTGTCATATTATGACTTTTCAATTTCAACTGTCAAGAGTGTCAAGTGTCAAGTCAAGAGTGTCAAGACCGTCAAGCACTGTCAAGAGTGTCGAGCAAACTTGTTTTTGTTTTGTTTATCATTATTTAGTCGTTTTGTTTGGTTAATTTCGAATTTAAATTTTCATGTATATGTTACCAATTATCAACTATGGAAAGGTAGGTGTTTGTGTCCAAAATCTTTGTATATTGCTAGTGTAATTAAAATAAATAATTCTAGATTTCTACAAAAACGACGAAGTAAACATGAAACAGACAGCAATGATAGTGATGAAGATTGAAATATTGGAAATAAACCACCAAGAAAAAAAATGAAAAAAGCATACGAACAAAAATTTCTTCCAAAATGGAAAAATCAATTTAACTGGATAAAGGAGTCAAATAGAATGGCGTTTTGCCAAAACCATAAAATTGGAGAGTGGTACATACACACCTTAAACGGCACGAAAAATCTGGTGCACACTTAAAGAGAATAGAAACTACCAAGAAGCAACCATCCGTTGATACATTTTTAAAAAATGATGAAAGGGCAGATTTGGGGAAAAATTAAAAAGGCTGAACTTATAGCCGTTTCTTTCTTGATAGAGCACAACCTACCATTATCCCTTCTTGACCACTTCACAAAACTCCACAAACAAATGTTTCCGGATTCAAAAATTGCCAAAAATGTGGCATGTGGCAGAACAAAAGGCAATAGGATTGTTTTGAATGAGTTTAAAAAGGAAAGTGATGATATGTTGGTAGAAGACTTAAAAAATACTCGTTCTCATTGATTGTCGATGAGACAACTGATGTTTCCACTGCAAAAGGGACTTTGCAGTGGAAACATCAATTATTGTTGCTAGATATTGTAAAAATTACTGCAGGGTGACTCATCGGTTTGGTTTGGTTTGGTGGAGTTGGCACCAAAACTGAAAGAATTAAGTCCTTCCTTATTTTTGATGGGATGTGTTTGCCACAGCTTCAAACTTCTAAAGCAACTGAAAAACTTCGCGATCCATCGAAGAATTTGTACGCGATATTTCAAATTATTTCAGCAATAGTGCTAAAAGAGTTGAAGCCTTTGAAGAATTCCAAGAATTCACCCAGACTGCTAGGCATAGACTTAAGATTGTGCACCACCCGTTGGCTGTCCATGCAAATGGTGATCAACAGAATATTGGAACAATGGAGTGCATTGAAGTTATTCTTTGTGGCTGAAGTAGCCAAAGAAAATAGTCTTCACAAAGCAAGGGCAATTCTAGATGCACTTAATAATCCCATATATGAAATTTATTTAAATTTTTATCATTTATTTTGAAATTAACATATGACATGAATCCTGACAAAAAGGACGGTAAATTTAGGTAAGGTTAAAAGTTCATACTTATCAAAGGATATTTGTAATGAAGTACTCACTGTATTGGCAAATCGGGTAATTGAGGAAATTATCAGACAAATTAAAACAAATAAATATTTTTCAATCAGTGTAGATTCAACAGCTGATATGTCATCAAAATCAACTTACAGTGATTTTAAGATATTGTAATAGTAGGACTTCCCGTATAACGGTTTGTAGGATTTTATAACATTGGACATGGGCACAAGAACTTGAACAATGTGTAATGGATATGTTAAAGTCTTTTAATTTAGACATTCAAAACTACAGAGGCCAGTCTTATGACAACGCTAGCAATATGAGTGGTAGATATTCTGGTTTGCAAGCGCCGTATTAAGACATATAATGATTTAGCCCTCTATATCCCATTCTCTCAATTTAGTTGTCCAAAATGCGGCAGATCGCTGCTTGGAAGCAACATCTTTCTTTATGCTAGTACAAGCTCTTTATACATCTTTTTCGGTCTCAACACACAGATGGAATTTGTTGTCTTGTGCAATAAGAGATTCATTAGAATAAGGGTCTGAGAAAATACTGGTGCCAAAAAGAGTTAATACAACACGTTGGTCTTCTCGTTTTGATGCCATAAAGGCGCTAAAAAGTAGTTACGTTCAATAAAAACTTGTTTGAATAATATAGCAACGGATGCCAATGGGAAAAATATGGTAAGAGTCGAAGCAAGTTCTTTATGGAAAAAACTTAATTTTTTGGAAAATGGGATAATCTTATCATTTTGGTTAGATATTTTTCAAAGGGCAAACGAGGTTAATAAAGCAGAACAAAAAGAAAGCACGGATCTGACAACTACTGCCCACCTTTTCTCATCTTTAGCAGAATATTTGGATTTTGTACCTAATCGCTTTGACCATTATGAGGGCTTGGGAATGTCGTTGACAGAAAACGAAACTTATGTTGAAAGGCGAAATATCAAACGAAAATTGCAATTGGGAGAAAAAAACAGATGTAAATTTGAGCCAGAGAGATAAAATCCGCACGCAATGTTTTTTTTTAATAATAGATAATCTGAAATCCGAAATCATTCGTCAGTCTGAAAGCTATCAATCTTGTTCAAAAACACTGGAATTTCTATTTAAACTTAAATTCATAGAAGATGAAAATATTACTTTATTCGCTAATAAACTAAAGGAAAAGTACAGTTCAGATTTGGACGAATATTTTCCTCAAGAATGTATTCATCTAAAAATACTGTTAAATTCCTTATTAGAAATTAAACTAGAATCTCCATTGGATTTGCTTCAAGCATTGTATGAAAATAAATTAATATCTTCGTTTCCCAACATCAATATTTGTCTGCGTATTTTTTTCTCTATAATGGTCACAAATAAATGCACGTGGTGAACGATCCTTTCCACTCTTAAGAGAGTTAAAACTTACCTGCGAAACTCAATAGCCCAAGAAAATTTGAATTCTTTGGCAATTGTGTCCATTACTAAAGACATACTGGATGAAATAGATACAAATTGTATAATAGAAAAGTTTGATTTATTAAAAGCAAGAAAATTATATTTCAAATGACTGACTTGATTATATTATTATTTTTTAGTTCAAATTATTTTTTACGTTCCTTCTAAACCAAAGATAGAATTTATTTTAATTTTTGTTAAAGCATTGTTTTATATTTTATTTACAAGTGTATCGCTTTTTCCGGTGACAATGCTAATGTAAACTTTGGAGGTCTCGCAAGACGAAAACAGAAAAATGTTTTAAGCACCATGAAGCAAGACTTAAATTTAGATATAGTTGGTGTAGGTTGTCCAGCCCATATTCTTCATAATTGTATACAGCATGGAGCTGATTCACTGCAGTGTGATGTGGACTACATCATCAGAATATTTAACTACTATTCAATCTACACGGTAAGAACGGAATCATTAGAAGAATTTTGCGACTTTGTTGAAATATCCTATCAACCACTTTTATATCATAGCAAAACAAGATGGCTATCCATGTTTCCAGTCATTGAACGGGTTTTTAGACTCTATCCGGCCATGCCAAGAAAATTTTTTGAGAGTGAATTTTCAGAAATGTATTTGTGGTTGTTACATTCAACTATGCACATTTTCCATGTAAACGTTGTGTTGCGTACTAAAACGCTGATTTTTGTGTGTGGTTTTATTAATAATATATTTAACAATATACAACTAATTACGTAAATAAGTAAAATGAAATGATGCGCCCTGTCTGACAGTAGAGGCGAATGTAATGGCCGCTAGTGATATAAACGAAATATCTACCCGTTACAAAGTAACAGGTATTTAACTAATACCCGAAGTAACTGTTCTCTAATACTCAAAATACCTGCTCCTAAATACCCGTTTTGTACATATGCAACACAAAATACTAAAATACCTACATCGATTGGTAGTTTCACAATAGGTTGCAGAAGGTTAGTCTGTGGTAGTTTGTTACTTCGATATTGTAGGTGCTTTAATTTGGGTATTTCCCCCATAACAAATTACTAATCGGTGTAACGGTATAATATCCAATCTCGGTTCATTAGTTTTATTTTCTTTTTGAGATTGATCTACCTTTCTAGACGATTAGAAATCCCGAAAATTAGCAAAATTACTTCGTCTATATCTGATATCTGATTAATAATGGACTCACAAAAAAGAAGTGCCATTTGGATTTATTTTTCTTCCGTTGCTAATGAAAAAGCAAAATGCAATTTATGCAAAAACATTTATTCTTTTCGTGGAAGTGTTACGAATTTGCGTAAACACATAAAAAGTAAACATCCGACTATGATGGTGGATGATGAACCAAAAATGAAAAGGCAATCACTGGCAGTGGAACAGGAACAACGACAACTATCAGTAGACGATCAACCTGGTAAGTTAGTTATTCTATGCTGGTAAGTATTAGTAGGTATATGTATGATAATAAAAGTATTACTTATTAGAGCCATTAGACACAGAGTTACAAAATTATTTATTATTTGCAAATTGCAATTTGTTTTCAAAAATGTATGAAAAGTTTGAATAAAATAAGCTATCTTATATTTTACAAGAAATTGCGCATAAATCAGCGCAAGCTGCGCAGATGCACATGATAATTTAATTTTGGAAAATTTAAGTGATTGTAATAAACATAACCTTAATTGTTTGAAATTTGCCAATTTTTTATCAATCATTCCTTTTTCTGAAAATTATTAGAATTGCATTATGTTTTTTTCGTGATACAATAATAATAAAAAAATTATTGTATCATGTTTTTCTGTTTTCCCTATTATCTATTCTAACATAACCTTAATATTTGTCAGCTGTTCTCGTTTAAATTTCAAGATTGTCAAATCGGAAAGAAACTATGGACCTTATGCCGTTTTACAATAATTTTGACAAAAGTTTTAAAAATAATAAAATTAAAAAAAATGTTTGCAATACGTGGACACACTTAGTAGTATTTTTATGCATCCAAATTAGATCACAAATAAGATCGAAACGTTTTTTCCTGCAATAACTGTGCCTATATCACTTTTAAAAAATGTAAATAACAAATTGTTTTAGGACCCTCCTCTGCAACGACTGTAGAAGAGGCGATCACGATGGTCGCATCAACATCCAGAAAAAGTGAACTACCTGTACGTTTGGCATCTAAAAGACAAACAAGTCTAAAGGGATTCATTTCAAGGCCAATTCCATTGACCCGTCAAAAAAAAATTAACGATCTAATACTAAACATGATTATAACGGATTTACAGCCCTTTTCGATAGTATCAGATCGTGGATTTCGAAAGCTACTAAATGAGTTGGAACCATCATATTTAATACCTAGCAGACCCACTTTTAGTAAATCCCTTATGCCTGCCAGGTATGAGGAAAAAAGTGAAAAATTAAAAAATCTCCTTAAAACAGCTGACCATGTTATGGTAAGTACTGACAGCTGGACTTCTATTAACATGGAAAGTTACACCGCGATTACAGCACATTTCATAAATAGTGATTGGCACTCTCAAGGGTGTCTACTTTCATGTTTTAGCTATAGTGATCGTCATACAGCAGAAAACATAGCTAAAGAATTAAAAAGAGTTACTAATGAATGGGATATTTCCGAAAAAATATACGCCATTAGTACTGACAACGCGGCAAACATTGTAGCAGCAACCAAATTGACCGGATGGGTTCACATACCATGTTTAGCGCATACGATAAACTTGATTGTTAAAGACGCCTTAGTAACTATAGAAGAATTAATAACAAAAGTAAAAAAAAATGTGGAATATTTTCATAGGAGTTCCCAGGCGACAGCTAAACTAATGGCAACTCAAAAACAACTAAAACCTGATGAAATTCCTTTAAAACTAATCAATGATGTGGCAACACGGTGGAACTCCACATTCTACATGTGTGAGAGAATAGTTAAGCTATCAGAACCTTTAGCTGCAACAGTTGGTCTTTTGTTAAACCCGATTATTCTCCCAACAGAAGAAGAATGGGTGACTTTGAAAGAGATTTGTCTTGTTTTAAAACCTTTCGAAGCAGTAACAGTTGAATTGAGTGCAGAGAAACAAGTTACCCTTTCAAAAGTTATACTTCTGGTAAAGGGTTTACACTCATCGTTGGGAAAGACAAGAATGACAATAATGAGTGAAGTAGGGAAAAATTTAATAAATTCTCTACTCGCTTCTATAACTGTTCGCTTTGGGAATCCAGAAAACAATCTAATAATGGGCAAAGCTTCTTTCCTAGATCCTAGGTTCAAAACAAAAGCATTTGATTCCGAAGACTCTTTAAAGCGAGTTAAAAATAATATCCAGGATGAAGTAGTTGCTTTGATAAAAAAGAACTTACAAAACAATAATGTAACTGAAATGTCCACAAATACGGAAATTTTAGAAAATAATGATGATGACATAATTTGGCAAGATTTTGATCATTGTGTAAAAACATCTTTACATATTACAAGTCCAGTAGCGATCGCTATAGCTGAAATAAAAATGTATTCAGAAGAGGCAAATCTTGACAGAAAAAAAGACCCTCTTATTTGGTGGTCTGAGAGACAGAGAGTGTATCCCTGGTTATCTCAATTAGCCAAAAAATATCTTTGTATCTGCGCTACATCTGTTCCATGCGAACGGATATTTTCAAAAGCTGGCCAAATAGTCACCGAACGGAGAAATAGGTTAAAATCAAAAAATGTAGAAAAACTAATATTTTTACATTGTAATAACGACTTATAGACTTAAAATTACTAGAGTTTAGTTTTATCTAGGTATGTTAATTTTGTTACTCTGCCTTAAATTTATTAATTTAGTTTCATGTTTTTAATATTTGTGTTAACTATATTCTATTGTTGTTATGTTTCCGTTATGTACCTACCCATGTATGATACCATGTATTATTTTTGTAACCAATATATTAAAAGTAACCGTTTCAGGAAGAAAACATTAAATCCATTATCAAGATCAAGTACCAAGTACCTATACCTAATAATGTCAAATATACCCTATCCTTTATATACCCGTTCGATATACCTTTTCCTTTTAACAGTTTTAATCATGTCATGAAATGAAACGCAAACGTCGCAAACTGATATTTATGAAATATTTATTTTCGTATATCGTTTATCGTTATTGTGCATATAATACTTACCCATGATATACCATACTTGTACTGCGAATCGACAAAGAGAAGTAGCAGTAGCAGTTAAGTAACGGGTATTAAGTAGCAGGTACTGATAATAAAAGTAACTACTCGGAACAGGTATTAAAGAGTAGCAGTAATTTACATCACTATAGTTAAGCTCTTAAATTCTAAGTAAAAAGGTGATGCTTTGGAAATGTTTTCATAAAAATACAAAATTTTCCATAGCAAAAAAGTTACAGCGATGTGTTAAAAATGCACATTTTTGAAAAACACCCCGTAACTCCGAAACGGTAACAGATATCGATGTGCGGTTTTTACCATCATGTTTTTGATAAAAATTGAACTCCATCAGGCACCGATATGACTTTTCGTCTATCTCCTATAGAAAACGTGTGTTTCCCTTTAAAAGCGTCCAATTTGAGCCACCCTGTACATCATTAATGTCCTTGACCTTCCAAAGTTTTATAATTAGGTTTAAATTTACAAATTTGTTATAGGTGAGTGGTACTCTTAATGATGTATCCTACATTTAAGCACCTTTGACACAGAAACTAGACTGCCGTGGAAATAAAATCTGCTTTATCTCTACCTACTCTACTGTCTCATTATTATATAAACTTTTTTCTTAAAGTTTGTAATTAAAATTTTGCATTTTTTGTTTTAATGAGGTACATAATATAAGGATAATATTAAATATAACTACAATTTTCAAAAATGTAAAAAATCTAATTCAATATTATTTCTTTTAAATGTTTTTTTTATAATTTTATTAATGTATCATTATTATTTTTTAATTCTTGTAGGTATAAATAAACTAATATTCCCATATAAAAAGCTAATGTTAATTAAATTTCTGCATATTAGTCCCCATAATAAAAATATTAATAATGTCCCAAATACAGGGTCCGGCAATAGTGCGTCGGGCATCTGTAGCTCCTAGAATAAAAACTTAAAGGAATTTTGTTTAAGTGCAGACCCTAAAGTATGTACCAGGTTGTATTTCAGGAAAACTGTTTAGCTTCTATAAAGTGGCTCAAAAAGTGTGAGTGGACCTGGATGATTTTTTAAATTGAACACCTGTATATTGCATTTTGACTCGCACAGATCTTTTAACATAACTGAGATATCTGCAGTTAAAAATTTTGATTCTTGATCGACTTTGGGTATTCTTTTATTCAAAGGTGAACTGAAATTAAGCATTATCAAAAACAAATTTATTGAAGTCGAATATCTTTAAGTTTTTTAATTTAAATTCAATGCTATGATTGATATTTTTTTATTAGAAGCACAATAACAACGAAGAGATATACAGGGTTGTTCACCACATACGACACCTTAAAATTTTTACTGCAATTTCATAAAATATTTCAATTGAAAATATTTCAAAAACGGTAAGATTTAAGTGTGATAAACCTTAATTAAATTTACCTTTATTTCAATTGTAAAATCCAAAAATAGAATAATATACATGGTGTTCCATTTTAAAAAAATACAACTATATTATTTTTTACTTATTTGGGACACTCTTACACTTCACTTACACTACACTTCAACGAACCCAAAACTTACAATTTGTAAAAATCTAATCGTTTAGCTACAATACTCCGTGTCGTATGTGGTGAACAACCCTGTATAAGATAAGATGTAACAAATAAATCAAATACGTTCTTACTCTTGTATGTTCCTAATATAAATACAAGATTATTAACTCTATTAACTATAGAAGACTGAAGATATATGGATAGCCAAGAGTAGAACAGATCTATCTAGCTTTTTGACATAAATATTCTTAACTAAATTTAACACTAGATAAACTTACCTTATAATGTTATTATTAACTTCAACAGTTTTATTGCCTAAACGTTTCTCTAAACGGGTTTTCCCATAACTGTTCTTGTTACCGTATTTCTCCAGAAACAATTTGGTTATATATTTTCTTAGCAGGATATTGATTTTCTTTCTAGTATCTTCAGGCGATTGATCTTTAAGCAGATTCTGATTTTTCAGTTGAAGTTCTTCATATTTGTTTGGATCAAGTACCAAAACATTAGGAGACCTTGTAGTTGTTGAACTATAAATATTAGATATACCGGATGAGTCTCAAAAGTGGCTCACCCCTATAACTTTTTTATTTTTTTAGTTAAAAAAACGAGACTTGCTATGTTAGTATATGACAAAAATTAGGACTGATTGACGTATTCAATTGTTTTCGGTCACTTCCTGTTTCACCGGAAATGACTACAACTTTTGATTTTTAAATGGCACCCTCGAGATTTTTATACTTTATTCGATAGAAAATGTCACTCTGAATAGAATGACATATCGTATGTCAACTTTTGACATTTTCGCATATGGTTTATTTGAAATTATATCTTGCGGTTCGTAACGAAAATTTGACTTGAAATACCAAGTGTGTGGTATCAAATTATTCGTAAAAAAATGCTTTTTCTGAATATGCTAATGAGGCACCCTTGTTCCATTTGAAAAAATTGAGATATATGATTAAAAATACGATTTCAGCATTTTCTAACTGGCCAGGACAAGGCACTAAAAACATTAGACCATCAAATATATTTTTCCACGGCTCCTCGATGAAGAATTAGTGTTTTTAACATAGCCATGGGACTCTAGATTGAATTTTAAAATACAATTTTTTATTAAGCGAGAATGTCAAAAGTTGACATATGATATGACATTCTATTCAGAATGTCATTTTTTATCGAATAAAGTAAAAAAATAAAGAGGGTGCCATTTAAAAATCAAAAGTTGTAGTAATTTCCGGTGAAACAGGAAGTGACCAAAAACAATTGAATACACCAATCAATCCTAATTTCTGTCCTATACTAACATACCAAATCTCGTTTTTTTATCTGAAAAAATAAAAAAGTTATAGGGGTGAGCCACTTTTGAGACGATATATCAAAGAACTTATTACGACTCCAAATTGTTTTTGATTTATACAGGGTGAGTCAACGATAGAGAACAGTTCATTATTTAGTTTCTTTTCAAAACTGTTCCAGTGCTAATTTTTCAGACGTATTGTGGTCCTTTTCTAATCCCTAGGTAGCACGATTGCGTCCTAGTTGCAAAAACGTTACACACACAGGTATAAACAGGTATACCTGGGCATACAAAGCTTTGAGCATTAAGCTGAACATCGGTAAAACTAAAATCATTTGCACTCCCCCGGAAAATCATAGCAATGCTATAAAAATCGGAGAACTATTGGAATATGTAGCGGAATTCAAATATCTTGGCAGTTTGATTTCGGAAATATCGACTCTGAAATTCAGCACAGAATTAGCAACGCCTCAAGAGCATTCTGGGAATTAAAAGACAGAGTTTTCTACAATTTATATATTTTTCATGAATATGTATGTATATTATATATTTTTCATGGGATATTTTTCACGAAAACTTAAAGGGGATAAGCTTGCAGAATCAATGGGAGAAAGCAGCGCACAGTAGAATGCAATGGAGAAGAACTGTAAACTCAGTTAACGATGACCACCAAAAAAAGGCAACAAAGTAATGAGATTTTTGAATGTTCGGAGTGCGGAAGAGAGATAACATCATGTATCGGGCTCTTCAGTCACAGAAAAGCTCATGAAAGAAAACGCCTTTGGTAACCATCTTCTGATGCGTGTCAAATACTCGTCACCTTGTAATGACAGTACTAGTAGTAGTAGATCAGGGGATCTTTAGGTAGGCTTAAGGTGTACGCGCACTGAATCGGTACCAGTCCGGCGAAGGCGGTGACTCGACTATCGTAGATAGGTAGAGGTAGGAATCTGGCCTCTACAGGCCGAAATGTTTTAGTGGACGCCGGCGCCGTCTATATGTACGATGGTCGCAGTCGCTTTTGCTGGTCGGTCCGATCCGATGCAGTGCGCGCGGAGCCTTAAGGTTGTCGCCCACTAGACCGCGGCGCGACGCGGCGCGGCGCCATGTGGAAATTTCTTCTGTCTGCTTGCCATGTATTTAAATGGACCAACGCACATTAGAGCGCGCAGCGCAGAAGCGCGCCGCGGGATTTCCGTCAAGAAGTCGGAAGACTTCTCTAAACCGAATTCAAATTCGAAATGCACCAGTATACACAAATGCACAGTGCGTGATCAGCACGTGCCAGCGGCGAAATCTATCCCTGATTGGCCGGCCAGCCATGAAAATAGTTGGGGTGGCGGTTGAGATTTTTTACAGGGTTGGCTTGCATAGCGCGTATAAGGAATACTCTTTGATAGTCCACCGCGTGCGGAATATTGAGATTATATTGCTTGTCCGAATTTATTATTTTAGCGGACTATTTATTTTTTTATTATATTATTATTTAAAATCGTTTTTTGTTGCCTTTCGCGGTCTGTTATTTATTTGTTCTTGTTTATTATTATATTTTTTCTATTATTTCAATATTTGTTGATCGCTTCGTACAAGTTACAATTAGAGAAAATAATATTTATGTTTAAATAAAATATTTGTACATATAAGTACATACGTATTACAAAAACTCAAAAGTTAGATATTTTATATTATTTATTTATTTATTATTATATTTATATTTTTGTAAATGTTAATAAAATTATACATTTTATAAATCTAATGTTAATAAAATGTTTGAAAATAATTAAAAAAGTTTTTATTTGAATAGTTTTAATATATCCGGCTTTTTAAAAAAAATGTCGTTAGACTTTAAAACGGATAATACAGCAAGTTAAAAGTGTTTTTTTAGTAAACTAAAATGTATTAAATTATGTTATAATTTAACTGGTCTTTTAAATGTAAAAAATGTTTACATCATTGCACTTTTTGCAAATAGTATTATAGAAACAAATACCTATTTAAACCGATATTCAGATATTGCTGTCAATAATGGAAATAAAAAAATCAGTAGTACCAAATAAAAAGATAATTATTTTAAAGAACAAATTAATCCCTTTTAAAAAACACTAAATTTGTTAAAATCGGTCGTGCCAAAGAGTAATATAATATTTTAATATGCCCGCCCCCTACCCCTACCCATCACTTTATTTCACTAGTTTTATGTAGTTTGATAACAATTAAATAATATAAATTTCCATCATAAATCATAAACAATAAAAAAAATCATAAAAATATACATAATAAT